CATACTTAGTCAAATTAATCACCTTGTGGACAGCCACCAAATCAGGTCGATCTAAGCAATTACTCCGCTCCCAAATTAGCACATTAAGCCACTAAATTTAGCACAAAACCAACCTTCATATCAGCCACTAATTATCCCTAAAAAAACCCATAAATTAGCCTAATGCTATCTAGAAATGCTAATTAGCCTAATTAGGGTTTAGGGTTAATACTCACCTAGGCTCTTAAACTCTAATTAGTGGGCTGAACCGGCGGGGAACGGGCAGCTGGTCACCGACTCACGGCGGCGGATGGTGGCTCCCGCGGTGGCGTGTGGCGGCGACAGCGATGGCTTGGTGGTGTCCCGGCCTAGCAAGGTGGCGAGGGGGGGTGCCGGTGATGGTGATGGTAGCGGACAGGAAAGAGAGAGGGAGAAATGAGGGTGGCTTGGTGGTGAGGTGAGACGGCGGACGGCGGCGGCTCCTCCGGCGGCGGCGGCTCACGGCCGAGCAAGGAGGAAGAGGGGGAGGCGAGATTGAGAGAGGAGAGGGAGTGGCCGGATGGGGGAGTCGAATGAGGGGAGAGAGAGAGATTGAGGGAGGTTTATGCTTGGCTTAGTGGGGGTTGTTGAACAACTTCCCAAAAATGACCATCAAGCCCTCACACTATTGGCCAAGATCAACTAAGACTAAAATATCTAGGGATAGATTGGTCCACTAATTTCAACAATAATAGGGGCTAAGCAAGACCATAATATCCTCCAATTAATCCCCAAAATTCGGAATACAAGCATAGGGCATAGGGGCAAAACGGTAATTTTCTTACTCCGGGCTGAATTTCCAATTTTCGACTTTACCGATCCCAAATATAATTGGCCACACTTATACGACGTTGTCCTTGCAAAAATAGTCGTGTACATCCACGAAATTCGACACCGAAGTTCGGACTCAATTCCACGATTGATTTCGCTCAAATGCGATTTTAGTATCTCTCACTAAGGGGCGGCTGTTTAGGGGTTACGCGTATCTACTTAGGATTACTCGAGTCGTGACGATCTCGATCTCCCAGAGAATATGAGGATTTATCACTAGTTCCGGGGGTCGCGATCGTTTGGAATAAGTTCGGGATCGTTCGCCGCGCGTACTCTCGGTCGTGCGGAATCACCTGCGATCTGATCGTACGTCGTCGGCCAAACCAAATCCGTCACCTTCCTTGGATCGGCCCACATTGGCCCAAAATATTCCCTCGTCGAACTCGATTCACGGTCGAGTTCTTGGGTCCACGTACTATTTTCTTAGTTAGCCATTCCCTATTGGTCAGTATCCCGAGAATGATGAGTTACGGGCGATACTTACTAAAACGAAATGAGAAATACATATCCATTTTATTAATCACGAAAGTGGGTCGAATTTAGAACGTTACAACTCTTCCCCCCTTACAAAAATTTCGTCCTCGAAATTTATAATCCAAACCCGACAACTCAAATAAATGGGAGTGCTGACGTCGCATTACTTTTTCGCTTTCCCAGGTGGTGCCTTCTGTCCCGTGATGTTCCCAAACAACTTTGACCAACGGGATCGTCTTATTCCTCAAAACCTGCTCCTTCCTATCCTCGATTCGCACCGGTCTCTCTACGTACGACACCCTGTCGTCCACGTCTATTACTTCATGATTCAGCACGTGGGTCGGATCCGGTTCGTACTTCCTTATCATTGACACGTGGAAGACGTTATGAACTTGCGACAAATTCGGCAGCAAGACAAGACGATAAGCCAACGTTCCAATCCTCTCCAAAATCTCGAACGGGCCTATATACCTTGGACTCAGCTTTCCTTTCTTGCCAAACCGAGACAGTCCTCTCATCGATGAGATCTTAAGGAATACATGGTCACCAACCTGAAACTCCAACAGTCTACGCCTTCGGTCCGCATAACTCTTCTGATGGCTCTGAGCTATCCTTAGCCTTTCCTGGATAATCTTTACCGTTTCCATCGACTGCTGAACCAACTCTGGACCCGTTACACTTCTTTCTCCCACTTCATCCCAACATAATGGTGTTCTACACGCTCTGCCATAAAGTGCTTCAAACGGTGCCATCCCAATACTCTGCTGAAAGCTGTTATTGTAGGCAAATTCAACCAAATGCAACTGCTCTTCCCACTTGCCCTGAAAGTCTAATACACATGCTCTCAGCATATCCTCTAAGGTCTGAATAGTCCTCTCAGATTGGCCATCCGTCTGCGGATGATAGGCCGTACTGAACTGCAACTTTGTTCCCATGGCCGCTTGTAGACTTTTCTAAAAATTAGCAGTGAACCGGGGATCACGGTCCGAAGTGATCGATACCGGTACTCCATGAAGATGGATTATCTACCGCACATACAATTCCGCATACCTTTCCAACTCAAAGTCCTTTCGCACTGTCAGGAAGTACGCTGACTTGGTCAATCTGTCCACTATCACCCAAATAGAATCGTCTCCTCTGGCTTCTTGGCAATCCTGTTACAAAATCCATCGTAATATGCTCCCATTCCCATTTGGGATTTCCAACGGCTGCAACATTCCACCAGGTTTACAATGCTGTGCCTTCACTTGTTGGCACGTCAAACACTTGGCCACATGCTTGGCCACATCTAACTTCATTCCATTCCACCAATAATGCTGTCGCAGGTTCTGGTACATTTTCGTGCTGCCCGGGTGAATGCTATAATTGCTCCTATGAGCTTCTGATAAAATCTCTTCCTTAAGCTCCAAATCATCGGGGACGCACAAACGTCCTTGAAACTTAAGAATTCCGTCCTCAGACACTTGGAAGTCCGGTTTCCTCTTAGAGCCATCCATCTCCAGAATCTTCTGAATCTCAGGGTCCGTAGACTGCAACGCCTTAATCTTGGTTTGCACCTCCGGTTCAATCCTTAATGTTGCCACCAAACTGGAGAGGTGTCCTACCTCGAACTTAAACTCTAAGTCTCGCGCTCCTTCCAACAAAATCCACTCTTTGACTATTAATTACGCGATGCTCGATTTCCGGCTTAAGGCATCCGCTACCCGATTAGCTTTTCCGGGATGATACAAAATGTCACAATCGTAGTCCTTCAGAAGTTCCATCCAACGCCTTTGCCTCATATTCAATTCCTTCTGCGAAAACAAATACTTGAGGCTCTGATGGTCCGTGTAGATCTGGAACTTTTCCCTGCACAAATAGTGCCTCCAAATCTTGAGTGCGAAAATGATTGCTGTCAATTCCAAGTCGTGAGTCGGGTAGTTCATCTCATGAGGCCTTAACTGACACGATGCATAAGCAACCACCCTTCCATGTTGCATTAGCACGCATCTCAATCCCTTGAGCGAAGCATTACGATAAATCTCATATCTTCCTGGTCCTGAAGGGATCGTTAGCACTGGCGCAGTCGTCAATCTCTGCTTCAACTCTTGAAAGCTCTCTTCGCACCTTTCCGTCCATTCAAACTTAGTCTCCTTCTTAAGCAACCTTGTCAATGGAGTGGCTATTGCTGAGAATCTTTCCACGAATCGCCTATAGTAACCTGCCAGCCCTAAGAAGCTTCGAACCTTAGTAAATGTCGTCGGTCTCGGCCAATCCATCACTGCTTCAATCTTTACCTAATCCACGGAGATTCCTTCTCCATAAATTATATGCCCAAGAAATGCTACTTAGCTCAGCCAAAATTCGCACTTGCTAAACTTAGCATACAGTGCATGCTCTCTTAACGTTCGTAGAACCTTTTCCAAGTGTACCTCATGTTCCTCGGGACTCTTTGAATACACCAAAATATCAGACAATGACAAACTGATCCAAAAACTCCTTGAATACCCGATTCATTAAGTCCATGAAAGCAGCAGGGGCATTCGTCAGTCCAAACGGCATTACTGTGAATTCATAGTGCCCATACCTCGTCCTGAATGCCGTCTTTGGGATATCCTCCTTTTGGATCCTTAACTGATGGTACCCTGTCCTTAGATCAATCTTAGAAAATACCGAGGCTCCTTGTAACTGATCGAACAGGTCGTCAATCCTTGGGAGGGGATACTTATTTTTTATTGTCACTTGATTCAGCTGGCGGTAATCAATACATAGCCTCAACGACCCATCCTTCTTCCTTATGAACAATACCGGCGCCTCCCATGGAGACGCACTCGGTCGGATAAAACCTTTGTCCAGCAGTTCCTGCATCTAAACCTTTAATTCTTTCAACTCTGACAACGACATCCTATAAGGCGGCTTCAAGATTGGCTCAGTCCCAGGGGCCAACTCGATAACAAACTCCACTTCTCTTTCTGGTGGCAATCCCGACAATTCCTGAGGAAAGACATCGGGGAAGTTGCACACCAATGCTATATCCTATAACCGCACTTCTCCTACCATCGAATCAACCACACTTGCTAGGTAACCTTGACATCCCTCATCCAATAACTTGGTTGCTTCTACTGATGAAACCCAAGGGATCGAGGTTTCTCCTCGACTCCCTACAAACTCAAATCTAGGGTGTCCAGGCGGACTAAACTGAATCACCCTGCTACTGCAATCCATCACAACATTCTGTTTGACTAACCAATCCATGCCCACAATCACATCAAAATCATACATTGTCAAAACAGCCAAATCTATCTTGCTTTCTACACCACCAATTACTATCTCACAGTCCGGGCATCCTAACGATATGCATATCTTATCCATTAATGGCGTAGTTACACATAATCGCACTTCTAACAAAACAGGTTTCAATCCAGCCAATTAAACAAGCGAGCAGACACAAATGAGTGCGACGCCATCAGATCAAACAAAGCATACGCGACATGATTGCACAGAGAAACCATACCTGTGACCACGCCCGGCGTATTCTCAACTTCTCTGCGCGCCATCGCATAAAATCGTCCTTGAGCTGGCGATCGACCTTGATTAGCCGGTGGGGGATTTCCGTCCTGGTTTCCTATCCGGGGTTGTTGCGGTTGAACCTGAGGTCCTGTGGGGTGCTGCTGGGGACAATTTCTTATTTGATGCTCCTAACTCCCACACTTGAAATAAGCCCCAAATCTATTCTGCTGGTGGTTCGGCTTCCCAATATTCTTTCTAGCCGGTGGGACGAATCGCCTGTTTCCCGCCATCGGCTTCTTCCCGAAGCGGCGGTTGTCCTTACTCTGGTCGAACCGCGATCCAGAAGCAGCTGCCCTTTCCATTTGATCCCGTTCTATGGCTTGAGCCCGTTCATACATCTCCCCGTAGCCCCGAATGTTGAGCGATATCATCTGACTCCTAAGGTCCGACTTTAGTCCATCTCGGAATCTCTGAACCTTATCCTGTGGGTTCTCCACCATCCTAGGTGCAAACTTCGACAATCTAGCGAACTCCGCTTCATACTGGTCTACGGTCATCTGTCCTTGGCGGAGCCTCATAAATTCCGCCAGTTTCCTTTCCTGGGCACTCTCTGAGAAATATTTTCCATAAAAATTCTGGGTAAACACGGCCCAAGTCTGGGCGGTATCCTCTGGGAATACTCTTTCCCTGGTGGCCTTCCACCAATCATTTGCATTGTCCTGCAGCTGATATACAGCCAAAGTCACCCTTTCAGGCTCGGTGCACCCCAGAACTTCAAAGGCTTTCTCTAATTCTTCTACCCAATGCGGTGCAGCCTCGGGGTCACCTTTTCCGTCGAACTTCGGTGGGTTTAACTTCAAGAACTGATCGACCAACTTAGACATCGGCCTGATCACATTTGCCGGTCCCGAAGCTGGATTCCCGTGATCCCTCTGATTCTCGATATTTCTGTTATTCCCATTGGCCCCATTGGCAGCAGCAACGGCGGCCTCAACAGCAGCGGCAACAGTGGCATTTCTCTCCTGGGTCTGCCTACCCATCAGTATTCCCACTTCCTCGAGTGCCCTCAAAATCCCATCTACCCTGGGGTCCTCTGCAACCCTCACTTGCGGTTTTACGTGGTCTTGCCCACGACCTCGACCTCGACCCCTACCACGACCTCGACCTCTACCTCTTCCTTTGCTACTCATCTTCACAACTCGCACGCTCACCTACCTGCTATAATTCCATTCAGGAATTAGAAACCTAAACCAAGCTAAACCGGTCTAAGGTCCTAGGCAGGGAACTAACACAACAGCAATTAATCACTCAGCATGCGACCAAACATAAGCAGCATAAGACCTCAACCAAGGAGATACACGTACTTACCTCGGGTCCTGCCGCACTTGCACTTTACAGGTCAGTTCAAACAACCAGTCAATCAAGACACAAACAGTCAGGAGGTACACGTAGCACACAAGGTCTCCCTATTGGCTACCCAAGGTCATCGCTCCTTATCACTCCAGGCTTCGACCAAATTGGACCGAGCTGACCTTGCTCTGATACCAAATTAACGGGGGATGTCACGCCCTGAACCTTACGACGCGCGAGCATCCCAACCAAGGTCGAAGTTGTGTGACGTCCTAGGACGCATCGCCGACGCAACACCCAACACAGAGATTAAGACACATGCGGAAGCAACATAAACACCCGTACAATTTAAAACACCGTGACCCAGGATAGCACAAACATCAAACAACATTATAAATATACATTTGCATTAACAATAGGGAAACATATACATTATCCATTTACAGCATAAACACAAAAAAAACCAAAAGCAGGTCAATGGCCACTACTGACAAAAAGGGGTAAGTGGCCCGGGCGGTCAGTCTAAACACTAACCTAAGGAAGGGCTCCGGTCAAAAAGGTATCGGCCCAACCTAACTAGGGTTACGGCTAAACCCTAAGGTATCCAGTCCGAGTCGGATCCCAAGGACTCGGAAGAGCTCTCAGACGGCTCATCCTCGGAGTTCATGGAATCCAGCTCGGACTCGACCTCTGCCGGCTCCTCAGAATCCTCCTCCTCAGGCTCGCCCTCCTGCTCGGGGTCCTGCTCCATCGGCTCTGGCTCGCCATTCGACTCCATAGGCTCCGGGTCGAAATCCCAGTCCACCGGCTCCTCATCCATCGGGTCTGGTTCGTCGACCTCCCAAATGACGCGTCCATGTCCGTCGTCAGAATCCTCTCCGTATGAGGCCTCGGGGCTTGCCAGATCTCCATCCTCACACTGGGGATCTACATCACCTAGCCCGTTGAACGGGACATCAAAGGTCCTAAGAGGTCAGAATGTCCCGGAGTAGTACCTAAAGCACCAAGCTATATACTCGTGGGCCTGAAAGTACTGCTTGCCCACATCGACCCATACTGTAGTAAAGTGTCTAATATACGTATCTCTGTTACCTACAGGGTACTCAATCACCTCCTGGTCTATCCGGGACGGGGTTCCAAAACGGATAGGCACGTCGGACATCCTCAGGGCCAGGGGTCTGAAAATGTGGGTTTTAACAACCGTGAGAACAAATCTCAGCGAGTAACCCCCTAAACCTAAATTAGGCTAACATGCACCTCCTGACAGGCAAACAATCACACAACACCAATTCAACAGTCACTTGACCTAGGCCATCAGGCCCAGATCGAACATATCACGACCTTGCAGGTTAGGCATATAATAATCACAATACTGGCACATACGCGAACATACTAGCCATACGTACGCCATGCACATGTTCATGCTCCTTGATGTCTGCTTCACACATAGTTCACCGATTTGCACATGCTCGCACACTTGCCAATGCACTTTTTTAGAGTTCGACCCACGTAAAACGCATCAGGTCTGTATCAATATCCAATACTTCCTGGCCTGCGTAAAACGCATCAGGCCCAGTATCTCTAGCCCGCATAAAACATATCAGGCGCAACACCGATCTCCATATAAAGACCGAACCCGCATAAAACGCATCAGGTTGGCCGTCTTCCGGCAATCCGGGCATCGTCCCACGTAAAACGCATCAGGACGGGTTCAATACCCCGCGTAGCACGCATCAGGGCTTATAGTGATCACACATGCACATACCAAATTTTATCTGAGTCCCGCGTAAAACGCATCAGGGCGATTAAGTGATCACATGCTCATGTCAGGCACGCATACTCGCATAATTCTCGTATCAAGCCAATGCTCAACATGCGAAATGCGTGGCCATGCAATCCAGCACTCGGGCAACAACACGATACACAATGAGTATCCAATTTCACATAGGCACATAACACATCATACCAAGTCACGCTCAAACAAATGCCACGACGTGCTCTAATAATCATTTAGCATGCTCAGGTCGTCACATTAACATGCTCAATTTAACCCAATTACTCAATTCGGCCACAGCACAACATTGGCACCCGATCACACACACTTAGCCATGTAAAATTTCAAAGCTAATGGCCCATTAATCTCCTCACTACTCGACCACATTCAACACGCAACATGGCATCACAAAAATTGATCGAGAATGAGCACAAATCAGCCACTTCAAGACGAATCAAGACCTACTCGGAAATTCCACAATTGAACTCTAGATTACCCATACTTAGTCAAATTAATCACCTTGTGGACAGCCACCAAATCAGGTCGATCTAAGCAATTACTCCGCTCCCAAATCAGCACATTAAGCCACTAAATTTAGCACAAAACCAACCTTCATATCAGCCACTAATTATCCCTAAAAACACCCCTAAATTAGCCTAATCCTATCTAGAAATGCTAATTAGCCTAATTAGGGTTTAGGGTTAATACTCACCTAGGCTCTTAAACTCTAATTAGTGGGCTGAACCGGCGGGGAACGGGCGGCTGGTCACCGACTCACGGCGGCGGATGGTGGCTCCCGCGGCAGCGTGTGGCGATGACAGCGATGGCTTGGTGGTGTCCCGGCCTAGCAAGGCGGCCGGGGAGGGGGGGTGCCGGTGATGGTGATGGTAGCGGACGGGAAAGAGATAGGGAGAAATGAGGGTGGCTTGGTGGTGAGGTGAGACGGCGGACGGCGGTGGCGCTCGGCGGCGGCTCCTCCGGCGGCGGCGGCTCACGGCCGAGCAAGGAGGGAGAGGGGGAGGCGAGATTGAGAGAGGAGAGGGAGTGGCCGGATGGGGGAGTCGAATGAGGGGAGAGAGAGAGATTGAGGGAGGTTTAAGCTTAGCTTAGTGGGGGTTGTTGAACAACTTCCCAAAAATGACCATCAAGCCCTCACACTATTGGCCAAGATCAACTAAGACTAAAATATCTAGGGGTAGATTGGTCCACTAATTTCAACAATAATAGGGGCTGGGCAAGACCATAATATCCTCCAATTAATCCCCAAAATTTGGAATACAAGCATAGGGCATAGGGGCAAAACGGTAATTTTTCGATTCCGGGCCGAATTTCCAATTTTCGACTCTATCTATCCCAAATATAATTGGCCACACTTATACGACGTTGTCCTTGCAAAAATAGTCGTGTACGTCCACGAAATTCGACACCGAAGTCCGGATTCAATTTCACGATCAATTTCGCTCAAATGCGATTTTAGTGTCTCTCACTAACGGGCGGTTGTTTAGGGGTTACGCGTATCGACTTAGGATTACTCGAGTCGTGACGATCTCGATCTTCCAGAGAACACGAGGATTTATCACTAGTTCCGGGGGTCGTGATCGTTCGGAATAAGTTCGGGATTGTTCACCGCGCATACTCTCGGTTGTGCGGAATCACCCGCGATCCGATCGTACATCGTCGGCCAAAACAAATCCGTCACCTTCCTTGGATCGGCCCACATTGGCCCAAAATATTCCCTCGTCGCTTATCGGAGTCGGACTCGACTCACGGTCGAGTTCTTGGGTCCACGTACCGTTTTTCAAGTTAGCTTTTCCCTATTGGTCAGTATCCCGAGAATGATCAGTTCCGGGCGAGACTTACTAAAACGAAATGAGAAATACATATCCATTTTATGGATCACGAAAGTGGGTCGAATTCAGGACGTTATATTTGATCCCCAATGTTGCCGTCGCCGACGTAGCGGGATGATGCCTGGTTATGCCAGAAGACCGGCGGGAGTTCGGTGGCCCAAGGGATCGTTAATAATTTGGACTTAATGAGTGCGATTTGCATTGGGGAATGCTTTGCCTGAATTAATTGATGAGCACGTCTGGATTATTAACCGTGTTATGCATGATTATGCCTTGAATTGCGTTGTACAAGCTTGATGAGCAATTGGCCATGTTATGACGGAATTCTAACGTGTAGGGCTTGCATATGTGCCGAGGCGAGGTAAGGGCGCTTGTGATTGTTATGACATGTTGGATGTCGGTATTGCATGATTAGGATTGTTCGGAGGTACGAGTTAGCCTCAGCGAGGCTTAGGTAGTTACTTATTGAGATTTATCTCATCCCCTGTTGTTAAACATTTTTCAGGCTTGAAATGACGAGTAGTCATCACGTGCGGTTCGGAGTTCTGGGGTGATGTTGGGCATTGGATGTATCATCCTTTTGGATGCCCTGTTGTAGAAGAGTTTAAGTTAACCTCCCTTTTGTATCCGTGGCCTCGTTAGGAAGTGGCTTTGTGTAAGGCTTGTAATTGTGTAAACCTCCTGGGATTATCTGTGTGAGCTTTTAATGACTTGCTGGTTTTTATCGGAAATGTTTTCCTTACTACCCCGTCTATTTGAATGTTATATGGAGTGTTCGTATTCGCTTCCGCGTGCGTTTAATCGCTAGTGTTTCGATTGGATCGGCGACAAGTCCTGAGATGTCGCATACTTGACGACCTCGGAGGGATGTTGCGTGCTCATTTGGGTTCGGGGCGTGACAGTTAACGATTGTTCTTTAGGGGTGTCAACAGTTTGGTTCAGTGGGTTTTCATTATACCCAAACCAAACCGAACCATATGGAATGTGTGCATGTTTTGACCCGAACCGAAAACACAATTCGGTTCAGTTCGGTTCGGCCCGGGTCTCAGGATTCCTCTTTCTTTTC